AATCTGTCTTTTTTTCTAGATATTTTAGTTTTTGTTTTCTATTTTTAATTAAAACACAACGTCTCTAATTCCGAATCTATATTTCTAACATTTTTCACAAATGATTCGTAGAGAGAGAGAGAGAGTAAATACTTGAACGAAATGACTTCATAAGTTCAGAAAATACGTTGCAATAATATGTGTTTTGTCCCACGAGATGAAATGGTGAGTATATCTCAATCGAAATACAAGTTCATCCATGAAAACAAACTTGAGGAGCTAAACAGTAGGAGAGTGATACCGTGTATTAAGCAGAAAGCCAAAACATAATGAATTTTCCAACAATTAATTTCTGAAAAACTCTCGCTATTGTAGTGATCTTATGAGAAAGCAATGGTAAAAAAACTGAAAAACTCTCGCTATTGTAGTGATCTTATGAGAAAGCAATGGTATCATAGTAAATTTCTAATTATAGTTATTTTATTTCAATACAAATGATCGATTCTCGTAGGAAGACGAGATAATTTGTAAATTTTTTAAATTTAAATTTAAATTAATAAACTATAAGATCAAATCAAGCCAAATTAAATTGATTTAAATTTAAAATAAATTAAAATAAAATAAAAGAAGAGAATTAAATCATGTCTAATTTAACAGTGACTGTACATTTTATTTTTGGGATTTCGACCATTTAACCAGTAAATGTCGTCGAAGCTTGATTTTCAGGCGGTGCTTCTGCCACATGCTCATTCGATCCATTAGAATGACAAGACATTCTTCCTTTTTCTGTGATTGTCGTAAACAATCGCACAATATGGATCAAAATTTCGACTCTATTCGTAAAAAAAAATTAGAAAGTATGTACAAATATTTACTTGGCATAGTGTTAGAGCAAGTATCAGCGAAAACACAATATTGTGCATTAGCTGATTTTAGTGAAATTAAATATAAATCGATCTTGGACGATGTACTGAATCGAAATACCGTACAAAGTATAATGCATGAAAGTATAGCATCAGAAATACGTGTATTGATACCGAAATTAGAATAACAATATGTTGAATTAGTAAAAGAAATATAAACCTATGAGCAAAACCCTCCTGAACCAAATGAAGACCCGATACCGAATCATTCACTATCTCCGTATTTGAAAAAGCCTTTATCAACGCTGGAGAATAAACAGAGTGAATTGTTAACTTGTCAACTGAGTCTAGCCAAATCAGATGAATATAACTCAGTAATTGATGCAGTACGGAAAGCTATCATGGCCGATTTGCATGATCTATTTATGGATGAAATTCAAATATTCCTTGATAGACAAGAAGAAATGTGGATATTACTTAACAGTATATAATTAAATCAAGAGAAAAATACAGACGACCATAAAATATCGGTCATTACTAAAAGATCGAAGGAAGTATACAAGACAGAAGAGTCGAACGTTTTGGCAGAAAAGAAATCACAGGTGTACACTAAAATATAGAGTATTATTTAAATTCAAGTCAATTTGCCTTTCTTTTTTTCTGTTATTATAAAGAATAAAGAAACATTTGATGATCAGTAATATAATTGTTTGGTACAAATAGACGGAATAATTATAATTTTAGCAATTTAGTTGATTACTCAACGAAACAATTCTTGAATGTAGTTTTCTAGTTGAATATATCTCTTCGGACGAAAATAAATAGAATTCCTTGTATTTTTTAGACTTAGCCTATACGTAACTTATATAATATATTTCTACAGTACAGTTACAACCAGAGACTTGGAATCTTCATCGGACAAAAAGAGAAAATCTGTTTCGAATCATTTCAAACTCGATTATCTAACTCATGCCCTTCGAACATTCGATATCCATAAACCAAGTTCTTTTCATAATCATTTCTTGTAATAAAAACAATTGTATGAAAAATCATTGAGCAAGAAATAGATTTATTGAGAGATAAAGATGCGGTGATTTTAGAAAAAAATTGACAACATATGAAAAACTTCCTTTTAATCTCGAGGGTTTGGAGCGCTCATATAATTTGCAATCTCCGTTAGCTAATACAGACGTGCTTCAGTTTGTCTATTTACTTGGAAAAAAAACGTCAGGTAGACATAGTGTGAAATAACATCACAACGGTGTATCGGTTTTGATCGTTTCTCATAAACATGGGTTTTTTACCACCTCCTCCGAGAGAATTTAATTGATTTCTCATGACAATAATTAGGCATATCCATCATCAAAATAGTAATGAACCATACAGAGGCACATATAAAAACAAGCGCTCTTCCTTAGTTATTGACTGATAAGAAAAATTACTCCTTTCCATAGAAAGCAAATAACACTTAGTTAAAACATTCAACTAAAATGGGTTCACTTCGGCCAATGGAGAAAGATGACCACGTGCCAAATCTTATCGAAGATAAATCTTACTCGACAGGTAGAGTTGAAAAATCTTGCTCTTACATATTATAGAAAATCAGAAGCTACTAATTTGTTCATCAGAAACAAAAGAATAACTTCCCTGAGCTCTTGGAATAAAGATTGTTATGGCTATGGAAGTGCCATCATTCTGATCAGAACAGCAGCTACCAGGAATTATTTATTTGGGATTTATTAGGATCTTTTAATAAATCCCGGTATTTATTTCTGTTTCGAGATTTATTGGGATTTATTGAGATTTATTGAGATATATTACGATTTTAT